GGTCTACCGTAAATGACCTAATGACTGTGGTGCTTATACAATTTTTGGAAAATTAAATCAAGAACAAATTTAACTGTTAAAAGTCCTTGCTTTACGGCACTTTTCAAGAGCGAGGGACAAGTTATTGGAGTGTTAAATGGTATAATTTGACCGTGCAGTCATATCTGTTTTATATCGCATTTCCATGTGTGTGTCGCGTTTCAAAAATTAGTGTACGGGGGAAATGGTTTGAGAAGGGGACAAAGAAAATATTACGTTGGAACTGGGGAAAGGGGAGATTTTCCACTATTCCCCCTCACGCTGGCGTCGCCACTGAACGTAGGCACAGGCCCTGTGTAGCGTAAGCGTATTCAATTGATTGTGTGCATGCTTGCAATGTCCTGTCAAATTAAACTGTATATAAATATGAAGAGAGTTTGTCTATAGATAGGCCTGGGATCATGGGTGAAGTAGCAGAATTAATCTCATGAACCGAACTTACGCGCCGCGGAGAAAATGGATTAGGTTGCTTAATTCGAATAGGACATGAAGCAAATGAAGGAAACCCCGTTGTTTCATTAGTAATTTATTTTCTACTTTTCATCGAATCCTCAGCTTTATAACTCGGATACTAAGAAGTAAACATAGTCACGAGTATAAGTACGCGGGTGTACAACGAGAACAGACCGATTGTTGGCAAATTAAGATAAATTATGTACACGGATGTGAAGGAGTAATCGCAAGAACCTTGGCGATTTGAAAACTTTATTTTGATGGCAACAGGTACTGTACAGTATGTTGAGTGAATCTCTTGCCTTGTATAAAACGAACGGTACAGCGTCTCATATTTTATTTTTGGCCTATATCCCATCCTGTAATTGGCCATGGCGTTTTTGGATGTGAATAAATTGTTTGTTAAAATTTTACCCAAGCAATTGATTAAAAGGAACTAACCGTAGAGGTATCAAATGAATAACAATTATGATGCCAAGATAATATTTTAAAATAATAGTCAAATGAATTGATATCATGTTATTACAGTACTTTATAATAATAATAATAATAATAATAATAATGATAAAAATAATAATAATAATAATAACAATAATAATAATAAT